TGGATAGCAGCTGTGAGACGAGCTGATATCCAGTTCTCTTCCATCTCCAAATATCTGTTGGTGCTCCAGACATTTTCATTCCAGTAAGTTCTAAATATGTTCATATCACTCTTTATAGCCTATTAGTTTTATTTTCGATGCGCTCTGAGCTCATAGCAAATTAGAACAAACATCCTAATGAGTGATTTTGCAGAACTATGTTCTATTTATAGTTGCTAATTATTTGGCATTATTGCAGCAAACCAGCCTATGAAATGGATGAAACATCGTGACTGGGTTCCAGCGCTACACAAGGGACCTGCTTCAAACATACCACCATGCCAATCAGATTACTTCTTCCATGTGAGGGTGAAGAGGTGACCCTTCTGGATAAGATGGTGAAGGTTTGCTGCGTTTGATGAACAGTGATAATAAAACCAGGGAAAAATGAAACTTGCTCTTCTTAAATATTCTTAAGTCTTGTGCTGTATAAATAGCGGTATTTTTCAAAAGATACAGTAAATTAAGTAGTGTTAATAGTGGGTGATATCATGTAAACACTGTCATTTTTAAACTCTAAACGACATGGATTCAACACTAACTGATGTGATGTTCTATAAAGTGATTTTAATTTTTAAAAAACGGCAAAAATTAGTTCATTTCTTTATTCACCTTTTGAACAGTGGTACTCAGTACATACTCAGTAAATGCAAATTATTTACACGGTAGTGCACTACAGGCATAAATCTAGACCCCGTCAACTCCAAAGCCCTATCGTTGAGTCACTTCCGGTATTTCAGACAATCTCTTTCCGTCAAGAGCCACTTGTTTATTTGTTGCGGACTTGTTAAAGTGTTTTCTTATTTTGTTGTCAATTTTTTTTAGTGGTTTTTTTTATGTAAAAGTGTTTTTGGAAATGCTATTTTGTTATTTATGTTGTAAATGTGATTTGCACTTCCCAGCCACCGTAAAATACTTTACAATTCCACAACTTTATTAGTGCAAAAAACCCCCCCCCAAACATCAATGTAAACAAGCAGCTGCTTATTTTATGTGCATTAAAGTTGTAAAAATGTAACAGTGCAAATGCAAATTCCTTGCTGAAAGTTTAACCAAATGGCATTTCAAGTGGGAATTGGCCGACATATCTGCAACATAAACATTAGGGGTGCAACGATACACAAAATTCACGGTTCGGTTCGATACTTTGGTGTCACGGTTCGATATTTTTTCGATACAAAAAAAATGTTCATGCTTTTTTAATTTGTCATTTATTAAACACAAATATATATATTTTAACTCAAAAGTACAGTTTTTAAATTTAATGTTGCTGAAACAACAAAGGGATAAAAAAGTAAATATATCTGATCGAGAAATCACTCATCTTTGGAAAAGAGAGTTTATTACAGAGAAATGTCTCTTTCCAAAAAAGGTATACGATACGCTTCTTCTGGGCTATATTCTCAGCAGCATATTAAACAAATCAGGTCCCCATAAGGAGAATCCTGTGGTAACGGCTGTCTAAATGACTCGGGTAAAGTTTGTAGCATGCGTGCTTGTTGTTTTTGTCTTCTTCCACTTGTCTTTGCACTAGGATGATGTCGGCATAAACGTGCAGTCATATTCGTTGTGTTCCCACTAGTGCTGTCAGCGTAAATCTGAAATGACGTTAACGCCACAACACGGCAAATCTCCGTTAACGAGCTACTGCGGATCGCCCCGTGCGTGGGGCTGGACAGTGTCAACACCTTAACGAGCTAACTGCGCTAACGCACTAGCTCCCACCCATGTAATTGAGCATTGCGTGGCACATCCGACATTACTGTTTTACTTTTGTCCATGATGCGCTTACCTTCAGGGTCATACGTCACATGAAAATAGTTCCAAAGGCCAGATCTGAATGAGGTTCAATTTGCCATGTTGCAACGAGCTTAGCGTCTGTCTTGCTAGCTTGCGCTGCGCTCAGTGGATCTGCACTCGACAGTGCAGCCTAGGCGGAGTAGTTGAATGCAGATTCACTGAGCGCTCAACACAGACAGCATCGTCAGAAGAAAAGTTGATAAAATAAATAAAAAATTTTGTATTGTTCAATACATATGCGTACCGAACCGAAAGCACTGTATCGAACGGTTCAATATCGATATGAGTATTGTTGCACCCCTAATAAACATGTATAATATCCACAAAACTTAAAAAGAGGTTATACACACAATACGGTAATATTATGTTGAAGCACAGTACGTATCACTCCGCGAGGCTCCGCCTACGATAGCCATAATGCTCTGAAAATCCATCAAACATTGCGGGTCCGTAGTTTAGCAAAGTCGTACTAAAACGTTTGACAGATTTTCGAGCGCTGTGTACCACAGAAAAATTGTTTCGAGGTCAGTAAACACAACCAGAATTCATACATAAGTCACACAGGATTATAAGGGGCACTGTCGATTCTCAGAAAAATCAAAGGATTGATTTTAAGTGTGCCGTATTTTCCAAAAAACACGGTAATAGCGACGGCCGGCTAGCATGCGCTACCAAAAATAGTGCTAATAGTGCAGTATCTGACGGACGAAAGCTAAACCAGTTCCACACCACTGAAGTTGCAGCATTTTTACAAACCAATTCTGGTTCATCCGTTTCATTCAACGATCCGCTTTCACTCTTCTCATTCTGCATCGCCGCCATGCTTTTTCCACCATGTATGAAAACAAAGGCACTGCGCATGTGCGTTTTACCCCTATTCTATCGCAATATTTCATTTTTTTTATTGTTGCCCAACATTACACCGGTATTACTGTGAATGGTGTGATATGGCCCAGTCCTACTTTGAAATTAAACTTAATTCACATAATACTTCAAAATAACTGCAACTGTAAAAATATAAATACATACCTCACAGTAACTGCACTTGTAGAGTTTCTTTCTGCTGTGAATCTTTTGGTGTGATTTCAGGGAACGTGGAGTTTTAAAAGCCTTTTCACACAGGTCACATTTGTAAGGTCTCTCCTCAGTGTGGGTAAACATGTGCTCCTGTAGGTCTTTGTATGTCACAAACAGTTTGTCACACTGATCACAGAACCAAACATCATTGCCAGTGTGAATGCGTTGGTGGATATTTCTGCTGACTAGCCAGCGGAAGGATTTTCCACAAATGTCGCAGCTGTACGCCTTAATTCCAGAGTGGGTAACTTCATGACGTCGTAAGTTGCTACTGCGAGCAAAACCTTTACCACACTGATTACAGCTGTACGCTTTAACTCCACTGTGGACAAGTTGGTGTGCTATTAAGTTTGCAGGATGGTTAAAAGACTTTCCACAAATGTCACAGCTGTACGCCTTAATTCCAGAGTGGGTGACTTGATGACATCGTAAGTAGCTACTGCGAGCAAAAGCTTTACCACACTGATCACAGCTGTACGCTTTAACTCCACTGTGGATGAGTTGGTGTGTTTTTAAGCTTTCAACCCGGGTAAAAGACTTTCCACACAAGTCACAGCTGTACGCTTTAACTCCATTGTGGACAACTTTGTGTCTTTTTAAGTTTGCAGGATTGTTAAAAGACTTTCCACAAATGTCGCAGCTGTACGCCTTAATTCCAGAGTGGGTAACTTCATGACGTCGTAAGTTGCTACTGCAAGCAAAAGCTTTACCACACTGATTACAAGTGTACGGTTTAACTCCACTGTGGATGAGTTGGTGTGTTTTTAAGCTTCCAGCCTGGGTAAAAGACTTTCCACACAACTCACAGCTGTACGCTTTAATTCCAGAGTGGGTAACTTGATGACGTTTTAAGTCACTACTGCAAGGAAAATCTTTACCACATTCCTCACAGCTGTATGCTTTAACTGCACTGTGGATGAGTTGATGACGTTTCAGGTCTGACTTCCTAGTAAAATACTTCTCACACTCATCACAGCTGTATTTTTTCTTTCCCTTTTTTCTGTGAGGTTTGTCGGCCTCCTGAGAGCGCTGACGTCTTGCTCCATGTTGGTCCTACAGTGACAGAGATACAAACAGAGGCAGTGAGTGAAATGCAGTCGTGAAACAAACTGAAACTGTCTCCATTAGTGGGATCAAAGAGGTCAACAAACATGTTGTTGGTGTTTTACCACCACCTTCTGGTGATAGTATCACACTACAATGATGTGCTACAATGACAGTTGTAATTAAAATGACATTATTGAAAAAATGTGATGCGTCGAGCTGAGCAGACGTGAGTTTGTGAGCTCTGCACTGGACAGCTGTAAAATATTGGTATTTTAGCTCATTTTGCCAACAAACTGCCTCGAAATTTATATAATGTCTTTAGACAAGTTTTTTGCACACCCTGGATCAAGCAAAAAGAGAGAAATGGGCGAACGAGGAGTCAATTGCTCTGAAAATGAGACCAGGTGCGACGCTGAGGATGCACTAAGTACATTGCGGGATGATGTGACTGTGGACAAGGTGACTTCTAACATATCGAAAGTATTGGATAGTAAGATATCCGAAGTCATAAAGCCAATAAACGTGCTCGCTGAGAAATTCGACAGTCGGATAGAAAGAATGGGAACAGTGGAGCAGCGGGTCTCGGACTTGGAAGATGTTACAGCTACAAGTGAGCCACGTATTGCCGCTCTCGAGACCCAGCTTAAGAAGGCCATGGAGCGTCTGGAAAACTTTGAGAATCAGAGCCGGCGGCAGAACGCGAGGATTGTCGGGCTAGAAGAAGGTGCGGAGGGTAGTACAGTACTGTTAACAAGCTAAGGTATAGAGTATACTTTGATTTTTGACATACACTCCAGTGCAGGTATGTTACGCGTCTGTATCCCCCTACAGCTGTACTTTAGAGCAGGGTACACCTAGATGTGTAATTTATTTTGCTTTACTTTTTGTTATTTGTGTTGGGGAGGGTTGAGGTTTCCAGGCTTTGTGTTCAGGTTTTGCTGGGAACCAGTGTTTTTGTTTTATGTTCAACTATTTTGGTTAATAGGTTCAGACTGGTCAATTGTAGATTTGTTTAAACATGTAAACAGCACAAAATATATATTGCTGTAATGAGAAGGGGTGTGGTCTAATGACATCAACACCCTATATCAGGTGTGCATAATTATTAGGCAACGTCCTTTCCTTTGGCAAAATGGGTCAA